TGTGTGTGTGTGTGTGTGTGTGTGTGTGTGTGTGTGTGTGTGTGTGTTAACACCATAGTTTGGCAGCCACATCACTCACAAGTGCGGCATGAGTCTGTGTTTGTTTAGTGCTCTGTCTCCCCCTCCAGGCAGTAGGAGTCACCAGCAGGATGGGTGAATACAGCTAGGTGGGTAATGGAGACAGAAGTCAGGAGGGGTCCTGCACAGGCCTGGAGGTCGGTCCGATCTCTCCCAAGCTCCTCACACCACTTTCTGGGACCCTGGGGAGGCCTTCTTCGTCCCACTGCCTCACCCCAAGCTCTGGGAGAAACCTGTCTTAAGAGTAGCATGATGGGGGAGGGGATGCTGCAGCTGTGACCTCTCCCTTAGACTTATGGGGAGAAGGCTCATGTAATGGGCAGCAAGTAGGCCTCAGGCAGAGCCAGTTGCCAGGAAAGGCCCAGACCATAGCTTCCTTTTCGGCTGCACCATCCTAACAGTATGCCATTCTCTCCCTGTTCACTGTCAGCCTGCCCTGCAGCATGCCTCCTCCAGGAAGGCTCCCAGATCCTCTCCACACACACTGGCCTTACTGCTGCCCTATCCATCACAAAGCTGTGACTACCTCGCTTCCTGCGACACCACCCTGCAGAGCCCCTCTCCCTCCCAGGATTTGGTTCTGAGGACGATTTGGGCCAAGGGCCAGCAGAGTGGAGTGGCAGAGATACAGCCGTGCCACATCCTGGGGTACCCAATCCGTCCTTATCCACTCACCACTGACAGTGGCTACTGCCTCCACCTGACTCACTCTGACCCACACTGCTCCTGCCTAGGCGCAGGACTGAGTTACCGCCCCCCCCCCCCCCGCCCCCAACAACAGCCAGGAGTGCCCTTGGATGGATGGATGGATGGATGGATGGATGGATGGATGGGGGGAGGGGTGTTTCCAGGGCCAAGTTCAGGTTCCCCGACTCTCTGCTCAATGTCTGTTCTCTGGCAGCTCACTTCCCCCGAGCCTCGATTTCTATAACTGAGACATGGGCTAACAACACTCTTATTTTAGGAGTGAAATCTGGAAAGGAAGTAAAAACAGCATTAGGAGGCTTCCGAAAGCTATCACAAGGCTGGCGGGCTGGCTACATGAACCTCCCTCCAGGCAGGCGCCTTGGGATGACTGGTATGGTGAGGAGCCCCGCTCACACCCAGGCAGGGATGCTCCGAGATTATGTAACTGCACAGGGTTAACCAAGTGAGGCCAGAACTGCAACTGAGGTCAAGCTCCACGACCCTCCAGCCTCCACCTCGGCCTCCATCCTGCTTTGCACGTGCGGATCCAGCTCTCCCCTGGGATCATCCTTCCAGACGGCTTCTACTACCCCACCTGCAGAGCGGGTGGGGCCAATGACAAAAAAGCCCAGGAGGCCCCGTTCCAGACCCGGACCCCACCTGCAATTCCCTAAGCCACAGTGAGCCGCGGCTGGCTCGTCTGTCAAACGGGTCCTCGGCCACCACCTCTCACGGGCGGCAGTTTGCAGGAATTCACGAGACGCGCGTCGGGGCCCCTGCACGTGTCCCCGCGCCCAGTCCCACGCTCACCGGGGGTCCGGCTTCCGTCGCTGAGCGGGTGCCAGGGGTCGCGATCGGTGGCTACGAGCAGGCAGTCGGGGTCGCGCAGGTGCGCGCACGCCTCGCTCAGCCGGGCGAAGGAGAAGTGCTCGTCGTAGCCCACGAGCACGGCGCGCACGCGCGAGTCCTCGCCGGGGTCCCCCGCCAGGCGCA